AACAAGGAGCTGGAGAGATAGTTCAGAGGTTCCAGAGGTCCTGAGTTCAATTCTCAGCAACCACATGGTGGCTCACAACCATCTATAATGAGATGTGGTTCCCTCTTCTGGTATGCAGACAGAACACTGTATATATAATAAACAAATAAAATCTTTATTTTTTTTTTTGGTTTTTCGAGACAGGGTTTCTCTGTAGCTTTGGAGGCTGTCCTGGAACTCAGTTTGTAGACCAGGCTGGCCTTGAACTCACAGAGATCTGCCTGCCTCTACCTCCCAAGTGCTGGGATTAAAGGCGTGCGCCACCAACGCCCGGCTAAAATCTTTTTTTAAAAAATACAAAAACACCAGAGGTATTCCAGTACGTGGGAAGAGTGGGAATAGGACTACTACAAGTTTCAGGTCAGCAGGGGTGATATGGTAATATTGGGGAAGTCTTATGTCAATAAAGCACTGTTGGGCCAATAGGAATCTAGATAGGTGGGACTAGGAATCCAGGAGGACTCTGGGAAGGAGAAACACAAGGGAGTCGAGATGCAACGCCATGGGGTAGGAAGCCCGGAAACTTCTCCAGTAAGAGACATACTTAGATTAACAATTATGGGGTAATTACTTAAGTCAGAGCTAGCCAGTAACAAACAAGCAAGGCCAACAGCTTCATAATTAATATAGCCTCCTGTGTGTTTATTTGGGACTGATGCGGCTCTAGAACCAGGCTGGCGGAAAGGCTTTTCTCAAGGAAAAGGTTTCCGTTTACATGGTAAGACTCATCTCAGATAGCAAACAAACAAACAAAAAGCTGGAGTAGCAACACATGCCATAATCGCAACCCTTGGGAATTGAAGCAGGAGGACTAGGAGTTTCTAAGCCATCTAAAGCTATATAGGGAGTCTGAGGACAGCCTAGGCTACCTGGGACCCAATCACAGACCACCAAAAACTAAAACAAATTTAAAAACCCTCAACAATCAAACAAATATAAAAGAATCAACCACAACCAAAAAGTAACCACAAAAACCCTCAACAATTAAGTACTTTGTTCATCTAGTTGAGGTACTTGTTTTTGTTATAGTTACAGGAGTCTCATATATTGTTTTATTTAAATCTGTACTGTATATAATGATTTACAATTGACTTCTCCCACTGCTGGCCACCTTGCATTCTGTCTACTGTCTCTTCTGCCTCTGCTGTGGAGTCACACTTCTTTGGCTTTGATGTACTTTAGATGTCATATCCAAAAAGTTGCTACCAAGACCAATACTATGGAGCTTTTCTCCTTTGTCCTAGGACTTGCAGAGCTCCAGGATGTGGGGTGTGGGGTGCATGTGCCATACACACATGTATGGTATAAGAAGTATACCACTCTTTCCCATCTTGCTTCCTCACTTACTAAGAGACTGTCTGTCACTTTTTCCACTGCATATTTCTGACACCTTTATAAAGGCTAGCTGACATTGATTTTGTGAGTTAGTTTCTAGACTTTCTATTCCAGCACAGTGGCCTGCCTACATGTCTGTTTTTTAGGCTAACGCTACACCATTTTAATTATTTGTTTTATAATATAACTTAAAATCAGGTGTTGTGGTACCTCCAGCTTGGCTCTTCTTGCTCAAGAGTGCTTTCGTTATTTGTGGTCTTTTATGGGTCCTTAAGTTTTAGGATTTTTTTTCCTGAGACAAGGTTTCTCTTTGTAACAACCCTAGCTTTCCTGGAACTTGCTCTATAGACCAGAGTGGCCTTGAACTCACACAGATCCACCTGCCTCTGCCTCCCAAGTGCTGGGATTAAAGGCGTGCACCACCACCGCCCAGCCTAGGATTTTTTTCTTTCTTCTTTCTTTCTTTCTTTCTTTCTTTTATTTATTTATTTTGGCTTTTCAAGACAGGGTTTCTCTGTATTGCTTTGGAGCCTGTCCTGTAACTTGCTCTGTGGCTGGCATCAAACTCACAGAGATCCGCCTGCCTCTGCCTCCCAAGTGCTGGGATTAAAGGCGTGCACCACCAACACCCTACCAGATTTTTTCTTTTTTAACCTAAAAAAACCTTCCTAGAAGAAATCTAGAAACCATTCTGCTGTGGCTATGGTCAAGCACATACCTGTTTCTGGGAGAAATGCCACTAGAATTCTGATAAGGGCAGTGCTAAATGTGTACACTGTTTTGGGTAATGTGGACTCATTGGCCACACTGATTCTATCATGCAGATTCTTTAGATGGTGTGGCCCACAACCCTCTCTACTTGCTCCAGTGACTCCACTCAAGGGCATCATCCTAGTGGCCATGGCTCCTCCTGAGATGGAGGGCACCTACAATGTGCATGCCAGGTTAGGGCAGGCATTGTTCCCTTTCTCTCACAGGTGTAACAATGCCTCTCTCTGGAAACAAGTTGCAGGTCAAAAGGGAAATGCCCAGGGAGCCACACTCTGAGCTGTCAGGGACTCACTCACAAGGTAGAAAGGTGGCCTCAAGGCATCTGAAGAAAAGGCTTTAGGAAAAACACTAACTGGACAAGCTGCCCCAGAGCTTAGAGCTAGATGATCTATCAGTCCCCGAGAGAACACAGAGGAGCTGTGGCTCTTGTTTCTCCATGGCCTTTGGCATTTCTGAACTGTCTACAGGATTGCAAGGGCTAGAGTGGTCAGATGTGGGCTGTCTACTTCACCTTGTGTCACCAGGGGTGTCACCTCTTTGAACCTCTGGTTATTTGTAACATTTGTGTATTTCACAAGACTAAACTAAGTGAGGTTAAGAATCGTGAAAGTAAGGTGGCTGTGGTAGTACTCAAGCAATCCTAGCACTCGGGAGGCAGAGGCAGGTGGATTTCTGTAAGCTCGAGTCCAGTCTGGTCTACATAGCAATCCTAGCACTAGGGAGGCAGAGGCAGATGGATTTCTGTAAGCTAGAGTCCAGTCTGGTCTACAGAGGGAGTTCCAGGCCAGCCATGGATACACAGCAAAACATGGGTGTTTTTATCCTAATGCTTGACACCATCTAAACAAATACTGTTTCTAAAAGTCTTCAGTTATGGCCATGGCTAAGCACACACCTAGTCTTCAGTCAGTATTTGTTCACTCCTCCCTAAAGATGACGTCATGGGAGAGAGGACACAGGACAAACAGCAGCTAGTGAAACCCCAGTATCCTTGTGAGGATTTCAACAGTACATTATGTGACAGCAAGACAAAGGGATCTGCAGCCCTAACTGTTCTTGTAAAATATCCACAGTGGAATGAAACAGGAGAAAGGTAAAGCCTACCATCCTTTAGTAGACGAGGCAGCTGGTGCTCACAGCTACGAAGGGACCTGTATTGGGCTACTCTGCTTTAAACTAGATGACTCTACCCACCCTCCCACCTCATTCTCTCCAAGGAGATCACCTCCCCAGGCTGTGACCTTCCCTCATCAGGGTCCACTGGAAGGAGGAGCACAGGCCCTGAGGAGACATGATGAGAACAGATGGGGAGGGTATGGAAACTAACTTGGTCCAGTTATCTGACTCAGTAACTTATGCTTAGGGTAAATAAAGCCTGGACCATTCACAGCCATCTGCAGACTCAGGTCAGTAGTGGTTCCTTCTCTGCCCTTGTATCCTCAGGGGCACTGAGCCTCTCCAGCCTCTGGACCTTCCCAGTGCTGCTCCAGAAACCCTGAGGCTGCCATCTGTTTAGCGCACTCCTCTCCAGACCATTTCTAACAGTCACTCGTCTATCAACCAGACTCAAGCTCCCTGAAGGCAAAGACTATGTCTGCTACTTCTGCTGCGGTATCCAGTATCCACCTCACACATGCTGATAGACTGAGGTAAAAAACCCTTCCTGCCTGAGTCTAAACTGCTGCATTAGAGCTGTGCTGTTCCTACAAGACTGTCTTCCCCACCAATCCCTAGTCCAGGAACACAAAAGACCCAATGAGCTCTTCACAAAGAGAGATGAGCTTGCCACTAGGCTCTCTGCACCTTTCAGACAATCCTAGTTGTGGGGAAGACCCAGGTAGACATGGGTCAACTGGACACATGTGGCCTTTGTTTCTCACCCTGCCACAGTTACAGCCATGGACACCTGCAGGAGTGAGCAGATGTCTGTGGACCACAACTGCCAACTTAACAATGCATGGCAAGTCACAGGATTTTCAGGGTTAGATGTTGTAGGTGAAAAGCCAAGTGTGGTGTGGTGATGTACACCTTTCATCCCACCACTTAAGAGGCAGAGACAGGTGCATCTCTGTGAGTTCCAGACCAGCCAGAGTAACATGGGAATACCTTGTATCAAAAAAAAAAAGGAAGAAGAGAAAAAAGGAAGGAAGGAAGGAAGGAAGGAAGGAAGGAAGGAAGGAAGGAAGGAAGGAAGGAAGGAGGGAGAGACAAGCTAACAGCCATGCCACCTGCTTTAGACCATGTATCTCTATGCCAGAACACCTGACTATCTTAATAACTATGACCACCAACCGTAGGTAGAACACTTCCAGTCAGCCCATTCACACTGTGCATGCAGTTTGTTTCCAAATGGAAGGTGCCTGCCCCATCCCTCCTCACAAGACTGCTGGAGTGTGCCCATTTCTTTGGACTGGGACTGGGCTTTGCTTGTTTTAGTAACTCTAACAAAGTCTTAAAATAACAATTCCCATAACATGCCCTGGTTGTTGTGAACATGTCTTTATAACAGATACATGCAGAAAAAGTTGGCATCACACCCAAAGTTGCTAATCAGCTACGTATGACTCCATCTGTTTGGGTATATGGCTGAAGGAACCTGCTAAGACACCGGAAGGAAGCTGTCTTTCCAATGCTGTGAAGAAACTGCCTGAATGGGAATCAGGCCCATGACAATGCAGCATGACGTTATATAACTGCTACTAAGAGCCACCCTGCCTTTTCTTTAGGTGACTAAAATTCCCCCTTGAACTTCATCTAGAACCTATTGACTTTCTTTCAAGGAAGAAAAAGGGAAAAGACATGTAGGCAAACTTGGGATGTGATGGCATAGAGGCGTGAACTACATAGCTACCCACCTAGTTTAGTTTCTTGTTCCTGCTTGCATCTCTTCAGATTTTTCACTCTGGATTAATCAGTGTGGAAAGTCTAAGAAACCAGAAGAAAAGAAAACAAGATTAGAGCCAGACACAGTCTAGGCTATAAGCTGGAGCAGCCTTTGGGAAGACAAGTTTGCAGTATCTGTTAACATGAAATGAGCACATCCTTTGAGTGAACCCAGTGTTCAGGAATTGGTACCAGAGGTATATTCAAATGAGTAAAAGATACTGTGAGGAATTAACTGTCTATATGGAATGAAGTTAAATTCCTGGGTATCAGTATGCCAAGACACCACACGGCCACTTCAGAGTATAAAGAAGTGACAAGGAAAGAAGTTTATGTTTAATTGCTTAAAAGAATATTGCAGCTGAGCAGTGGTAGCACACGGCTTTAGTCCCAGCACTTGGGAGGCAGAGGCAGATGGATCTTTGTGAGTTCAAGGCCAGCCTGGTTTATAGAGCAACTTCCAGAACAGCCAGGAAGAAAAACGAACATTGTGAAACTGCATATATCACTGCTGCTTTTTTGTGGGGAACAGTCTTTTCTTCCTATGTAGGTCCAACTGGCCTCACAAGCTCTTCTCAGTGTTAAGGTGACAGGTGTGTGATGCCACACAGCTATATACATACTTACATGTGGGACAGTGAGCTGCATTTGTTCTTACTCTTTGGGGCAGGTAGGGAGTGGTGGTGGTGAGGATCAAACAGAAAAAGGCTTCTATTCTATTGTTCTGTTTGTTTTGTTTGTTTTTTGAGACAGGATTCTGCCTAGCTGGAATTCTCTGTGTTGGCATGCAGATTTCTGTGAACTTAAGGTCAGCAAGACCACAAAGTGAGAGCCTGCCTAATCAGTAAACAAGGTCCACAACATAAACTACCTCCCCTCTGGGAAGCCCACTGCAGCCAGCCTGGAGTGGCTGGCCACTGGAAGAAGATGCTTCAGATCACTACTGCATCTGCTCGCTGGCTGCTGCCAGCAGATGCTCTGGCTCCCATATCCCACGAGACAAGGAGCCCAGATAAGAGAAATGCGAATACTGTTTGAATCATTTAGACAGAGGAGAACCCACAGAAACGATAGAAATAAGAAATAAGGTGAAAGAAGCCAAGCATTCACCACAATTGCCTAAGTGCATCAGCCCTTGCAGAGTTCCCTGGAGGGCCTCTGCTCTCCTCTGCTTCAGGGCTTTGCTTCTAACTTTTTCTTAATTGGCAGTAAAGATTTCAATAAGATAGCAATGATGCCTCACCTCCTGTCTCCACATATTCTACACAGCACATTTTGCTTCGCTTCTCACTCACTCAGCCTCTGCCCCGTGCTCCTTCCCGGCAGCAGCCACCATGCAGGCCCCATGCTCGGGTCCTGCTGCACTGCTAACCTTCAGCAGTCTCATTCCCTCGCTGCAGTCCTCCCACTCCCTGTGCTTTGCCTACACCAGCCAACTCTCAGCTTCCCTAACACTCTACAGGGTTCCCTGCCTCCAATCTTCTTGCTCTCACGCTCCTCTCCCACCCTGGGTGCTCCTCCCTTAGTCTTCGGGTTCCATGACACCCCTTAACTTTACCCCTTGGCCCATGGTGTCAATGCCCCCTGACCCTCTCTAAGCACCACCTTTTTGAGGAAGCCCTGGCCCACACTCCCTGTACCTCACTTAGCCTGTTCACACAGTCCGAACACCTACTCTTGCTCTGGGTGAATTGCATATAGGAAGGACCACTCCTATTTTCTTTTACACCATCCATCTATCACCATGCCCAGTACAGGAGATGAATGAGTACTGGCTGACCACATGAAAATGTCAACATGAACTGAAAGTGTGGCTTCAATGCTACAGATCTTCTGTCTTTTCAGGCTTGACACCACTCTCCGGGCCTCTCTTGGGATCCATGACAACAGGCTTGTTTTACTGAAACAGGGTCTTTTTGTAAATGAGCATTTATTCCTCCCTCAGACTGTGAGCAATTAAAAATCTTATTCCTGGGAGGCTGGCAGTAATTATGTTCCAATCCTGACACACACAAAAGCCTATATGCATATAACTCTAGCTTCAAGGGATCTGATACCCTCTTCTGACCCTCATGGGCATCGAGACTCACACACTTGTTTTATTCCAAGTTAATTATATTTATGTTTACATTTGGTTATCTTCTATTCATTTATTTAGTTGAGATGTGGTCTCTCTACATAGCCCTGGAAATCATTACCTAGACCAGGCCTGCCTCCAATTCATAGAGCTCCACCTACCTCTGCCTCCTGAGTGATGGGATTAAGGGCATGCTTCACCACACCTGCTCCTTTTATTTTTTTATTTTTTAAATTTTCTTGGTTTTTCGAGACGGGGTTTCTCTGGATTGTTTTTGGAGGCTGTCCTGGAACTTGCTCTGTAGACCAGGATGGCCTCGAACTCACAGAGATCCTGCTTCTGCCTCCCAAGTGCTGGGATTAAAGGCATGCGTCACCAATACCGGGCTCCTTTTAGTTCTTTAACCCCAGGAAAGTTCTTTTGTTTGCTTGTTTTAAATTTCTTGTTCTGTTACTTTCTTGTATATTTTATTTGTTTGCCTCCTGTGTGTACATGTTCGTCAGTGCATGTGTGTAAGAGACAGAGACCTGGGGGAGGGTCATGAAGCTATCTATGATCCAGACACTTTCTAGGTCACAATTCAAAATTTTCCAGTAACCAGATTGTTGGCTACCATTTCGGCTGGTGTGTGTGTGTGTGTGTGTGTGTGTGTGTGTGTGTGTGTGTGTGTGTGTGTGTGTGTATTTTACATTTTTGGTTGCCAGCCTAGCCTTTAACAGCTGAGCCATCTCCCCAGTTCAAGAAGCTTTTAAAAAAGATCTTGGCCAGGGTCAGGCATGGTGATGCATGCCTTTAATCCTAGCACAAGGGAGGAATTTGAGTTTGAGGCCAGCATGGTCTACACATCAAATTCTGGGCCAGGTGGGACTACACAGTGAGACCCTGTCTCAAAACAAATTAAAATAACTAAAAATTTAAAAGGTCTTATCCCCTTCATATTCCCACCAAAGCATGGTCCAGGAGGCAGTTTTGACTAGCAGGGCAGGACAAACGGAGGTGGCAGCCCCTCCCCGCTCAGATGGTACTTCTGACTGTATAGTAGACAGCACCAGAACATGCATGCCTCCAGAATACACAAATGCAAGGACACCAGGCCCAGGGAGAAACAGATACCAGAAAAGTGAAAGCACTGGCTGAGCATTTATTTTAAGTATTTTTTCTGCACTGTCTAGCTTTCTTTCCTTAAATATGTTCTAAGTTTGTAACTAGAGAAGGAAAGCCATCACAATAAATGCTATAAAGACAATCCAGTTGGGCAGTGATGGCTCCTGCCTATAATCCCAGCACTCAGGAGGCAGAAACAGGCGGATCTCTTCGAGTTCAAGGCTACATAGAAACCGGTCTCAAAAAACCAAACCAAAAAACCAAAACCACCACAACAACAAAAACCCAACAGATTATCCACTGGAAACTTTAGACTCCAAGTCACCCACCCCTACAGTTGGGGTCCCCAATCCGGGGCCATGCCAGGAGGAGCCCCTGTATTTTGTGATGAGGAATTTCTTCCGTTCCTCTAAAGCATGGCGGGCAGGAAGGCAAGGGAGCAAGTGTCTTTGCTGCAGCAAGAGCTGCAGAGCTGAACACAGGAACTGGAGGCAGAGTGTGGGCTAAGAGCAGCTGGAGCTCAGAGCCTCTGTGGAGATCCGCTGCCTAGCGCCCCACAGTCTCTCCACATATCTCACTTGTACCACTGGCACGTGCCACAGTCACTGCTCACTCCCCTGCTGTCTTCCCTGGATCACAGGGCTTGGGAGGTAGCCCTGTGGTGGAGTGCTTGTCTGACATGAACTTGGTTTAAACAGCAATGTTTCGTTTAAGACAATAAAAAACAAAAACAAAACCACAGACAACAGCAGTAACCCAGGAATCATGTGGGATTTTGAGCAGGGCCTGGTAGAATATACCTACAACTCATAGCCTGAGGAGGGACAGCTTCAGCTATCTAGTGAGTCTGAGCCAGCCTAGACTACATAGGATCCTGTCTCAAAAAGAAGAGGGGTGGGAAGAGAAAACAACTAAAGCTGGTCTATAATCACCTATTCCTCTAGCCCAGTGCTGTTTTGTGGGAACGTGACAGCTAGCCCTAACTTGATGGCACTATGCCCAGGAAGAAACCACTCTATCCCAGTCGTTACAGACCTTTCTTGCTGTTATCCCTGGGTGATCTGGTTTGTGTGACAATTTATACAGGATTCCCCTGTGATGGCTAAGGAACTCAACCCAGTACTAGGCACCTCTAATTGCTGCTTACCTTTGTCCTGAAATGCCTGTGAGATCCCAGTGGCCTGCAGGTGTTAGCCCCGTGAGATAAGAAGAAATATGGTTTTACTGCTTCCTACAATGGGGATGAGAAACATCTGAGGGGAGTGAAGCCTTTCTCGTCCAGCTGTGGATTCCACAGAGCACAGATAACTGTGATGCCCACCTTTGATGTTCACCTTTATAAGCCCTTCCGTAGACCCCTCTGGCACAACAAGCTCCTGATTTGACTATAAGGCTGTTGCCTGTTAGCAGTAAGAATAAATCGTTTAACCTAAATTCAAACTGAGTCTAAGTCTTTGATCTTTCCCAGTGGATTGATTCAAACTCTACAACAATATGAGCCAGCCCCTCAACACAAACTTAAAGAATAATAGGGACCACATCTAGAAAGCACTACACAGAGCTGACCTAGAGCCCTGGGGCACAAGTGTGCATTAGCCACAGACACTTCCTTGCTTTGGGGCTCAAAGGTCCATTATCTTGTCCTACAGAGCCAAATGGAAGAGTGATTTCTTCAAACATCAGCAAAGCTTCTCTTACATTTGGGAAATGCTGGCTTCATAGAGTAATTGTTCTAATTTGCAACTCACAGTCTGTTGGCCTCCCAGCTGAGAGCAACTCCCAGAGAAACTGTGCTGTTTAGAGGAAGGTGGCCGCTAAAGGGTTTCCAGGAGGTGGTGAGCACAGCCTTAAGTAATGACTG